CCACCCACAGCCACACAAAGTCCCCCCCCCCCGTTATTGGGGTTTTCCGGTAAGAAGTGCGACAAGGCAACTCCACAATGGGGACAAAAAATAGTGTAATCCTTCACCACTTCCTCCAAAATGTAAAAATATAGACTAAGCCTAGTAAAAAGGAGGTAAACAATGCTGGAGGTATCTGTTCTGCGCGCGCGCGCTGGTACCTGAATATTTATGAAACACAATGGGGGGGGGCGGGGGAGGGGATTGGTAAACATGTCTGAGATAAACTTTTTCTCATCTGGAGTGCTTGTGTATGACAGGTTTTAATCATTTTTCCCAATGTGTAGTAACCTAGGGCAACCAGTAACCAGACATCTGGTTTTAATCATTTCCCCCAATGTGTCGTAACCCAGGGCAACCAGTAACCAGACATCTGTCACTCATCTGATTCCAGAACAGTGAAAGCTGGCTGCTGTGCTCCCTGTGGCACTTTTTTAAATCAGGTAACTAGTGCAGTCCCCGCAGCACATAACAACAATAGCAGTACACACCCACCCTCCCCCTCTGACATGCAGAAGATGACATATATATCTTATAATAGCATACACATACCCAGGACAGCAAGGCATGCTGGGATCTCTGGTCCCACACCGGCTGAAGACCGCCCGGCTCCTCTAAGGCCTGCCAGACAGTGCAGACTGACAGCAGGGCGCCATACCGCAGGTTACTCACACCCCTCTCCCGCACAACGGCTCTGCCCCATTCTCTCCTGCTCACAGTTCTTCTCCCTCCACTCCCAAGATGGCGCACACGGAAGCGACGTCACGACTGAGGGCCCGACCAATCGCTGCACGCGTAAAGGTCAGGCCACGGTGGAATGGGCGTGGCGAGCCAGGGACGAGCTGCTCTGGAATCCTGCAACCATGGAAACGGGAGGATGCTGCGGCCTCTTCTGTGCTGCTGGTCCCCTGTGTGCCAGGGGATGTGAGCGCTGACCATGGAGAGTCACATACAGCCCGAGCACATTATACCTATACAGTATATAATGTATATATACAGTATATAATGTCACACACAGGGCCGGATTTACTCTCTCTGCTGCCCAAAGGCCAGGTTCCCCTATGCGCCCCCCTCCCCGCCAACCCCTAATGGAGAATGGCAAACAGATGGTGGGGTGGCAGGGTTAGTTTTCATTTTTTTTTAACTTTTTTATCACTTTTTGTATTATTAAAATTTGTATTTATTTTTTTACTTTTTGAAATTTATATTTATCTTATCTTTTACTTTTTCATTTGTTATCATTTTTTTATCTTATTATTATTTACTTTTTCATTTTTTATAATTTTTTATCTTATTATGTTTTACTTTTTTTAATAACCTTTTAATTTTTTTAAATAAATATTTTCTAATTAACTTTATTGCTAGCGCACAGGAGCTAACATGCCCCTGTGTTATAGCATTTGGAGGTGACAGGTTATCTTTATTGAACCTGTCACCTCCAATACAGGAGTTCTAGCACAGCATTTTGCTGGAACTCCTGTGACAGTTGAGAGGGCAAGGCTAAAGGTGCCCAAACACTGCCCGATTCTCGTACGAGAATCGCGGGAAATCCCGCGATCGTACGAGAATCATGCAGTGTGAATGAAGACGTGCGACCGTTTCTACTGTACGGTCGCACGTCTTTTGTCTAAGGAGCACGCTAGAAAGCCAGCCGAAAATCGTATGATTTTCGGCTGGTTTGAATGGTGCCCGGGAGACAAATGCCGAACGGGCCGATGTGCGCACGCTGCCCGTTCAGCATTGCGGTCATCGGAAGCCCACCCCTCAGGGGTGCGGGCTTGCGATGATCGAGAGTACGATCTGCCTGTCCAAGATGGGCCGATCGTACGTTTTTTTAATCACTTTACAACCATCGCAAGACTAAGGTCTTGCGATGGTTGTACAGTGTATGGCCACCTTAATAGTGCAGCTCTCCCTTCTCAGTGTTTACACAGATCAGAGCGAGGAACGGAGCTCAGCTATCTATCCTGAAGAGAGGATCTCCGAACGGCAAGGAGAGAGGTAGCCATAGGACGGACGAGCAGGCTGCATACAAGTGATCTCGGCGACATAGCCAAGATCACTTGTAAACGAACAAGCGGCTTCCTCACTCCACATTTAACTCTGCTTGCCCAAAGCAGGGATAAATGTAGAAAACAACTACCCGCCCAGCGCCCAGAACTGCATATATTTAGAGTATTGGGCGATAGGAATCCCTGACTCCCTCTCAGCTCCCGCGCCTCGGTTAGCCTTGTGGGAAATCCGGCCCTGGACACACACAGCCCAGGGACATTATACTGTATATAATATATCCCCTCCATGTGTCACACTCAGCCTGGGCACATTATACTGTATATAATGGAGTGCAGGCTCAAGGGGGGTCAGAGAGACCAGCGACTACAGCCCTCTGATATGCCTGAACAGAGGGCCGCGGCTACATGGTCGCGGCTGGCCCGGATTACCGTCGGGCCGGCCGTG